GATGCAGGCAATCAAGAGCAGTGAAGCATTGTATCTTAGCCACGGCCGAAGCCGTAAGCATTCGGATTCAAACCCCCGCCCCTGGTCCTCCCAGAAGAAATTTGTTTAAGCATTTAATCTCCCTTGGCCCACTTCAACACGTGTGCAATCCCTTGAACTTTTGACATTGTGATCAGTTTCACACAAACACACGGACGCATGATTGGAGCCACAGCTGAAACCTGGTTCACTTGATGATAAAATGAGAAATAAGGCAATACATCCAAATCGCTTCGATAAGTCTGAACAAAATACAGATATCTGAGTCAACGATTTTCGTATTCTGTTAGCGGTTAATGCATCCTAAGTTTTGAACGGTAACCAACAACAGGATTGAATATGACACCGACCAATATATCACTATCCCTAGTATGCTAACGAAAAATTAGTAAAACGTTAATTAGGAATAAATCTAAAAATAATTAAGATTCAATAAACGCACCAGAAGTGAACAAAACTATCAGTCTGAATTGCTAATATGTGTGCCTCAATAGTACCGTTGTTGTTGGGACTAGGTCACAGGTGTAAGAACGAGGGAACGAAAACCACAGTGTTGTTCAACTCATAGAGCGCAATACATATTGACTGACAACCTGTTTACCGGTGTATCAAAACGACAATGGCGACCAGGCGATGGATACTTACCAGAGATAATCTGGAAGTAGCACCGTTTTCGGGAAATGCGTGATCTGTGTTTATATACACTAGCCTATTTTGACGGCACTACATATTGAAGCACACAAATGCAAATGCACGAACACACACGCACGGCTGAGTTTGTGCGTATCAGTAGACATTCTGAATGAGCCCCTTAATCTCAACAGTGGTGTGGTTAATTGTTCTTCAGTGTCAAACAGACCAATCAGAATTATAGGCACGTGAATGGCATAATACCACACAAGTGAAAGGTGGTCGTGCGTGAAACTTTGCGGTTTACAAACTTTAGTACTCTGAATCTTGAACCCCGTAAATTACGTCCAACTCCCCAAAGAATATAAGAACTGATGAAAACCACGCAACGGATGCCCCTCTGGATCATAAACTCTCTCATTGAGGAGCATCCGACTACGTGTTTGTTCATAGCACCCCGCTGAGTAGTGACCCCTACAGCAATGGTTCAAGAAATTCATGTGAAGCATCGTTCACCCGTTACCACCAAAAGCGTTTCCTCCATAGTGCTCACTGGGGTTTTATTCTATGAAACATGAACATTATACGGCAAATGGAATATGACTAGGAAAACATTCTTTTGAGACTATTATCTGGCGGGTAGCGATGGTTTACGACGTCTTTTTTGCATTCCCAGAGTTTATATGCACACGGGACGAATTTTTAGCATCTGACAAGTGTGAATCAGATGAAGGTCAATAAGGCGGTGGAAAGAACAGTACATTATAAACAGACCATCGAGGGATAGGTATTGTTTATTTTCAAGATTATTGAAATAAGATCTAATGAAGAGCGAAAAATTAAATGATTTTTTTAAATCCGAAGATATTTTGAGTTCAAACACCTGTGAATCATACTTTTGGGTGAAATTACGAAAGCATTTGTTAAACAAAGACGGGTTATGTTTTATGAAGCTTCTGCCCAAATGATTATTATTCACCCGTAATTATCAAATACGAAGGATGATAATTGAATGTGACAGGTTATCAACCTATGACCCGGGTTTGGTCGTATCGCGCCATCCCTACTCTAGCTTCCAGGCGATTTTCTGGTGAACGTCAGGAGGCTTATTGTGGAAACATTTTGTGTCAATTAAAAGAAAATACATAGGTTATTATTATGATTAGAGCCACCCAATATCGCAATAATTATTTCGATAATTTCATGTGTTACGGCTTATACGTTTAGCATCAAAGAAATGATTGAGTTTCATAGATATCTCGGAGAAAGTTTGAAATGCGAAGTCGAAAGTCCTTATGGTTATTTGAAATGTTGCTAGCTTTCGTTCTCATAGCTAGCCTTTTGTGTTACACTTTCATCAAAGCCAGTGAATAACGAAGTTCAAGTAATCAGATAAAGTCCCTCTGGGTCATCTAACGGGCTAGATTGGATTCCTAACAAACAGCCTATTTACATAATCGATCTGACAGAGAAAATACAAAACAATATCTCGGCCATTATGCGCAACCAGCGAAGTGCCACCTCACCGTATTCATACAAATTATGTTCTTGCTCTCGCCGAAATATCACAAGCAAAACGCATTCAATGGCACTTACATTGAGATTAGTAGTGCATAGATCGAAACAGCGAAGTGGTTGCGTTGAATAAAAAAAGCGAAATCGACGTATACCGGACACCCCATGTTTGATGTACTTTTGGCTGTGTGCATATAACGCTATGTTAGATGAAAATACTGGGTTGAAATTGTTCTACAAGGCAACGGTAACGGTATTTTTAACTCAAAGGAAAGAACGAAAAAGAATGAAGCGATTTATGGTAAAAGAAACAAAGGAAGGTAATGATCGAAATCTAGCAAGTATGATCAATGTCAATGCGGTATGATGCAGTTCATTGTACACTGAACATGAAGACTAGCTTATGCAACATTTGACCAATGAATGATGTACCACGATTAAGGGAAATGGAGGAAATCTGAACAGTTCTCACCGTTTTCCAGAAAATTGTTTAGCTTTTCCAACTTCTGAGTAAAATGGATCTTGGAAGCTAGATAATCATTGTCTTCTTTCGCCTCTATCGTCTTTCATCGAAATAATGAAGTTGGTGAAAGAAACTTAGATGTTAGTTGGGACGACGCGAACGCCTCAGCAACTGCCAACATATCTTCCACTGCCACAGATCTACCAATGACATACAAATAATACATTTAGCCATTCACGATTCCATACCAATCTTCTTTGACCTGTCTTGGTGTATTCTAGGCTTTCAAGAAAGTTTATCGAAATGGGTTGCCGATGAAACGTCCCAATTTGGGACTCCATTACGATTTATACACCTCTTTCTGGCTGTTCAATATCTATTGTCTTTGATGGAATCATTTCAGAAGCAACCACCGGGAGCTTTCGCTCTCTTCCCTTTCATCATAGAGGAATCTTCATTCCAAACTCAAAATCCTGTCGATGTTTTGCCGACAAAACCAACCTGCATGATTCCTTGCTACGGTCCTCTGGCTTCTTTCAAACCAGCATTCACGACCCATCGAATACTTGTGATTCCTCTCGCTTTAGACTTGCATGTCATTGCAGTTTACGGAAATAAGAGACCGGGTGGTATTTATTGCCGAAAATGTTATTTTGCGTTTGTATTCCACAAATGAAATCCTTATCTTGTCGATCTTGATTCTGACTCACATTAACTTGGCTCCACATAATCCACTTTGGCTTCAAACTTCCCTTGTATATCTTGGTCCGTTCGAATGGTTAAGGTTGCATCTCATGTATTCAGAAAGAATCCCTGTTTCTTATTTTGCTTCAAAGAGCTTAGCAATACACTCATCTTCATTCTTTTAGTTGTAACTGATCACCGATCTTGTGTTTATACCCTAAATCATAACCAAAACTGCCCGGTGCGGGTAAAAGCTAAGATCCTTCATGGAAAGGTATCTTATGAAGTGCGAAAATAATTTCAAACAACCACGGAAGAGCATGACCGTTTGGAGCTTTTTTCCGCAGCTCTCATTTAACTGAAAAT